GTTTTAAGAGAGCAAGCTCAGCAAACACTCTCTATTATGCAAAGACTGAATAAGCAGACTTTGGAAATAGCAGTCGAAATAAAACAACTTCAGGTAAAACAAAAAGAAATAGACGATGTAATCAAGCATCAAAGATCAGTTGAAAATATCTTATCGGGGAGCAAAGTTGAGTTAACCTCGGAGTTAATAGAATTACTCGAGAGCAAGTATGTCGACAAAATGAGTTTCGTGCTTCCAAAGGAAATCGATAACTTCGAAGTCGAGACCAAAATCGAAAACATACAATTTCCATCAGAAGGGGAATCAAGCAAGACCTCAATGATTAAAGAAATGGGAGGTTTTAACTTCAGACTTCAATGCACTGTCGACAAAAAATGGCTAGGCTTGTTTTTACTTGTCACTTCTAGCGAGCCGAAAAAAATGTGGAAAATTTCGTTGAAGTTTCAATTCACTTTGGTGAGCTCGAATTCATCTAAGAGTGTGGCAACGAACAACTTTCAAACCCAAGAATTCTCGAGCGAAAAGGGGAGAAGAATTGGTTTTCCAAATTTTATACCCAGCAAAGATGTGCAAAATCCTAAGAAGGGGTTCCTCGCGGAACCTGCCACCATTACGGTCAAAACTGCGATATACAATTTTGAGCTCTGAAATGTCTGCTACATTAGAATTTCTGGCATACCGCATCCAGTTTTCTGCGTCAATAAACGATTAGATTATGGATTTTAAACTAGTAAATGAAGGAAATTCTATGATATTCATCTATTAATGGAAAACAATCTATGCTTCTTCTCTAGAAATGAAATCAATGATAGAATATAATGCTGTAAACTTTAAACAATTGTTCCATCTTAAAAGATTAAATTATCGCTGCGCTTTTCAAAAAACTTTTCGAAAGAGTATGATAACCATTTCAACTTAACTTATTCAATTTTAAACGATCGTAAATCCTTTTTTGGCCCTACTGTCGCCGACCTTTCATCTATGTTGCTAAGGCTTTCAATTTTTGAGCAGTTCTTGAACCAGTTTAAGCTCATCGTGTCAGTGAAAAGCCCAGAGTGTTGCCTTAAAAATATTAGATTAAAGTTAACATCGAAACTGCGCTGTTTAATTCAAAAAGCGACGTTTCTCATATAGCAAGCCTTCTTCAATAAACATTTTCACATGTAAAATTTGCTAACACAAAACTTACATTATGTGCTAAATTATAACGCTTGCATTTGAATGAAGGTTGTCTGTTTCTTTTGCTTTATGCAGCCAAATCTTGATTAAATTTATATGCGAAACTGAAACAAGTTGTTTGAAAGCAAATTATTTTATTTTTTTGATCGATTTTTAACTAGAAGAATGTGTAAAATTTATCTCAAGAAGGAAAAATTGGTGTAGATAGAGCTATGTGTAAGCTACAGTTGAAGATCCCAGATGAGCCAACAAGGATTGCTGTTCGGGAAATGGCAGTAAGAAAACGGAAAAAAGTAGGAAATCAAAAACAGTTTGATAGAATCACATTGTTTAGCAATGAAGATTGAGGGAACAAGAAAAATACACTTCATAAGACTTTAGAAACGCCGTTTGAACCCAAAATACAGGGAAAATTGCTAAAAGAAACATAGTGGGCTTTGCCAAAAGTACGTTGATTTTCATCTCATTTTTTACAAACTCAAAGCATTTCAAATTTTGTTCGAAGCAACTTGTTGCCTACTGATGTGATTATTGCCTTCAACATGTGATTTTCAAATTAGTCCATTTTTATGAAAAGATGACTCTTTGAACAAATTGAAACTGCAAAAAAATGTCTGATTCATTACATGGTAAAAATCGCTAAACGATCTATTGCCTTCTGTGAAGCCTTTGCAAAAACAGTTTTCTTATGAGCTGAATCTGATCACTGCCACAAAAACTGCAATGTAAGCGTATTTAGTAAGTTGAGGGATAGAAAATTTTTTGCACCAGAAAGACCGTCAATGTTAAGCACGGAAGAAAGGATGCTATCGAAAGCAAAACCAAATGAGTTGGGATGGATGTCCAACTCATAGAGTAATTTCAGATAAGGTACACCGTCTGCTCGTCACGCTATCTTATTTTCGGCCGGATAGATTCGTTAAACTTCTTAGTCTAATACCGATCTTAATCTTACTCTTATATCTTTTAGTCTCAATAGATCTAGAGTATACTGGTTTGTTACGAGTCGGTCTCTTGGAAAAGCAACTAAGTTGTAAGTTAAATTCAAAATGCTCTGGTGCTGAAATTACAAGTAATTTCAGCACTTACAAATAAGTTGGTTGTTAGTTTGATGGAGTGTGATTGGTCAGTCTTTAATATTCTATAGGGATAAAATATCTAATTTATAACCAATAACAATATATAGTTTGGATCTGGTTCCACCCATCCGGGGTTTACAGAGTTTTTATTCTTTTGACTTCTTTCTGTAACGGAGGATGGATGATGATCGTTTGTATTTTGCGAGCACCATTTCTATTCTGTTCTTGGAGGTGAAAGCTCCGGAAAGCTGGAATCATAGAGGTTAATTGTCATTCAACGATGACTGAGACCATCAACAAAATCAATCTGATTTCCAAATGGTTTGTTATGATCGTCAGTTCTTGATCGGTGTGGAGAACTGTGTTTCGATCTTGTTTGGGAATGGCGTGAAGCTCGAGTTTGGAGGAAATGCTTTGTAACTCGGATCTGTACGTATACTTGAACATCGAGGTGGTCATTGGTCTGTTTCAATGAAGTCCTTTGCTTCGGAGTCAAGTCATACTTCAAATCTTTTGAGTTGTGATTGTGAGCGGCATATCGGTTGTCGGTTGTGTTCAGCCATTCTGTGGATTGAGTGTGATGAGGTCGTTTTTATTTCTTGATGCTCGTCTTTGTGATTTTGTATGGTCTATTTTACTGCATTATATAATTTACATAAATGAATGTTTAGTTAGTTCTTCTTTTAGTTATGATTTTTTATTAGTTTTTATCGCAAAAGCTTTTATTTTAGTTCAGTTATTTTAAAAGAGTTACTCTCACTTGAGTACCTCTTGTCAAAAATAAGGAGTGTGTCACAAAGCGTGTGTTCTAGCACGGTGGGTTAGGCCGGCTATTAAGCATGCTCAGGACGTCCTCTTCTGGTGGGTTAGGCCAGGAGTGAGAGTGTGATTGCATGCTGGTTTTTTATGGGGTCCTGTTTTGTGTTAACCTTTTATGTCATATTGCTACTGGTTTTTCTCCTTTTGTTATTTTGGTTGTGTCCTTTTCTCAAAAATCAAATTGCTTGGTTTGTGTTTGTCTTTCAACCTTTCGGTGTTTTATGCTTTCATTTTTAGACTTCAAAAGATCAATAGTCTTCAAAAGAACAAATTATCGGGTTCTTTAAGCTGGTTTAATCCAGTTTGGGTACTGTGGGTTTTTTTCATAGTCATGCTGTTAGTTTGTGGTTTATAGTGTTTAGTAAGCTGCGTTGGTTAGTTGGGATTCTTATATAATTCCTTTCCAACCGGGTTAAAAAAAAAGTTGGAAACTTGTTATTACTAGTTTGAGTTGTTATTAGTGAAAGTTAAAACTTGAAATCTTTATTTAAAACAATTAGTCGTGGGCGAGCTGTGCGAGTGTGGATAGAATTTGTGTTCGAGTGAATTGATCTTGAAAAGGTTAGTACTGCTGGCATTTGTATAGATTTACTGCTGAAAATTTTAAATTTACTGCTTTGTGGGGATTGAACTTATTAAATTATTTTCATTGTATTTAAATTTACTACATTGGGGAAAAGAATTTTAAGATGAATTAACTACTGTGGTGAAGAAATTTTACTGAATTATTTGTTGCGGTTTGTTAACAAAAGTTTATAATTCATAAAAGAGTTTGTAATTTTTGTTTTTGTTTTCTGTTTGTATTGATGAATGTGATGTGGTTTCTGAGTCAGGAAAACATTATGTATCATTAACTTGGTAGTTTTTATTTACGGAGTCTTTTAATCTGTAAATTTCTTCTAAATTACTTGTTTCTGATTCGGAGACTGCGTTTCTTCGTTTTGAAAATCTTTTTCGTGTAATCTGTCTTTGTTTGCTTAAAATTTTTCTTGTGATTGTTTGTCGTTTTGTTCTAATATAACCTATTGACTGTGTGTGTGGAGCAATTACGAGGTCATATTTTTCGTTATTTATTTCACAATTGTGTAGTATGATTGTTTGTTTATTTCTTAAATTGTCTAGTGACATCAGGTTTAGAATGACGGATGCAAGGTTTGGATTAGTGATTTTAATTACTTAAACTGTTAGTTCTTACAATTTTTTCGTGTTAGCCTAACTTGGGCTGTGTATTTCAGGTTTGGAGAGAAAAGTATATTTCGATTCCTGAGAATGATTGTTACTTTCTCGTGGCTAGTCTAAGTTAAGGTGTTAACTATATTAATCTTATTTAGGGGTAGTGATTGTGTTCAAGGGTTGGAGAATAGTAAATCGATCCACAGGGTTCAGGTATAATTAGAACACAAGTAGTTCGTTCGGTACTAATTTCAACTTACTAAGTTTAAGTATTATCCTGGGTCAGATAAGAGGGGGTCAAGTGAAGTATGAATAACCGAAGTTCTTCCCTGTTTATTCTAATTGGAATGGTTAGTGTGATTGAAAAATTTCTATTAGTCTTGGGTCTTGAGAAAAGGTTGGATAGTGAATCGACGTTTGAGGTCGTTAGACACTTTACTAAATGTTTGGGGGAGAACAAAATTGTTCTATTTGATCCAAGGATAAGCCTTGATGATCAGAATATAAAATTAATGAAATTAAATTCAAATTAAGTAAAAGTGAATTAAAGATCCAAGGAAAGCCTTGATGATCTGTTAAGTTTAAAAGGGTTTAATTTAGATAAAAATAAGAAACAGGATAGAATAGGGTAGGATATGCCTTTATATTTAAGTTAACTTTTGATTGATAAAAAATGTTGTTTGTTAGTCTTTGATACCTGGTATCAGATTAGGGATGTTTTTATCAGTCGTTATTGTACAATAATAAGTTTAGCGCCTGTAATGATCGGTGAAGATTTTACTTCAAAGATACTATGTTTGCAAATGAAAATCTAAATTCATTGCTAATAAGACTCTAAATATAAAAGTTTGTGTTGGCTTTTGCCGTACGACCATGAAACTTATGGGTAGAAGTTCCTTTGTAGTCGTATATCGTCTCTTGCCCGAGGTCTTTTTCCAATACCGGGTAGTTCTCGTTTTGTTCGGAATAATGGCTCTGATCTATTGAGTTGTAGAGACATTTCAATTTAATTATTATCGTGTAACATTTTTGAGAATGTTTTTTGTCTAAGTCTAATCTATTTTTTGTTACTTAAGGTCTTATTCCAGACTTATGGTCGCACCAGATGAGTTGGGATGGATGTCCAACTCATAGAGTAATTTCAGATAAGGTACACCGTCTGCTCGTCACGCTACCTTATTTTCGGCCGGATAGATTCGTGCAACTTCTTAGTCTAATACCGATCTTAATCTTACTCTTATATCTCTTAGTCTCAATAGATCTAGAGTATACTGGTTTCTTACGAGTCGGTCTCTTGGAGAAAGCAACTAAGTTGTAAGTTAAATTCAAAATTCTCTGGTGCTGAAATTACAAGTAATTTCAGCACTTACAAATAAGTGGGTTGTTAGTTTGATGGAGTGTGATTGGTTAGTCTTTTATATTTTATAGGGATAAAATATCTAACTTATAACCAATATTAATATATAGTTTGGATCTGGTTCCACAAACTAATAAGCAGGCTCAATAGTTTACAAAGCATTACCGAGCTATGCTGTTCGCTCTTGAGAACAGAAAAGACAGGTAGATAAAACGCCTGCAAAAGTCGTAATGGACTGATGTAAAATAAGCAGTCCTTTTTGATGGAATGGGTGCTTATTAACCTTACCTGATACCTGTAAAATGAAAAAAAAAAATGAATAACTGTTTTCCGTTCATTTTGCCTGATGAGTAGTCTAACTGGAAGAAAATGTTTTGTTTGCTCAAGAAACTGTGATAAATATCTTACTAATTATTCAAAATAAAAATGATATCTGGCCAATAGAAAATTTCGTCATCTCCTAGCGTATGAAAAAATTGGATTTTGTTTTGCTTTTTGATTGTAAAATTTTGAAGCGGTTCATGATAAAGTCCTAGCAATTCAGCTAGATGCATGTCAACAAAAACAAAAAGACAAAAATTGATTTGCAATGGAAGTTTCCTCTTTTTGTTTTTTGTGATGTTTTCAAATAGTGCAGGTTAATTTCTTTGTTTTTTTTTCTTTTTTCTTTCATATATGAAATTTTAAACTT